TGTAAAAATGTTGTAGAAAATGAAATACATTTCATATATGACTGTCCTATATATAAAGATTTGCGAAAAAAGTATTACCCTTTGAACATCTATAATTTAAATGATAACATGTTGAAGGAAAATCATTGTAAAGTACTTTGTAATCCTGACAATGCAGTTCATTCTAGAAGGCTGTGCGAATTTTTTACATGAATGTTTTGAATTGCGTTCTAAAAATAGAGCACAATAATATATATTTAATGCATTAATTAGTTTATCTCTGTCCATATTATACTGTTTATACTATTTGCATAATGATTATGTATAACTTCAAGTTGTAAAAGTAGTTGACTTCACTGATTTGTACACTTGCATGTATGTATGTACTTTAGTATATGTTTTAGTAATCTGAAAACACACTGTATTTTTCATTTTGTTTGTAACATGGTTGTATGCCAACATGTTTGGTGAATCAATAAATTGAATTGAATTGAATTAAGAAAACAATAAAAAATAAAAATAAAAATCTTCTTCTCAAGAACAACAAAGCCAATTAGTCATACTGATATGGAATCATCCTCGGGTAGTGTAGATTCAAATTCAAATTTGTTCAAATCATGACCCCTGGGGATTAGGATGGGGCTACAATGGGGGATCAAATTTTTACATATTAATATATAGGAAAATTCTTTAAAAATCTTCTTCTCAAGAACAACAAAGCCACAAGTAGTCATTTGGTATGGAATCATCCTCAGATAGTGTAGATACAAGTTTGTTCAAATTATGACCCCTGGGGGTAGGGTGGGGCCACAGTGGAGGATCGAACTTTTACATAGGAATATATATATATATATATATATAGGGAAAATCTTTAAAAATCTTCTTCTCAAGAACAACAAAGCCACAATTAGTCATACTGATATGGAATCATCCTCAGGTAGTGTAGATTCAAATTTGTTCAAATCATGACCCCCGGGGATTAGGGTGGGGCTACAATGGGGGATCAAATTTTTACATAGGAATATATAGGAAAATTCTTTAAAAATCTTCTTCTCAAGAACAACAAAGCCACAATTAGTCATATTGATATGGAATCATCCTCAAGTAGTGTAGATTCAAGTTTGTTCAAATCATGACCCCTGGGGGTAGGGTGGGGCCACAATGAGGAATCAAAGTTTGATATAGGAATATATAGAAAAAAAATCTTCTTCTCAATAACAACAGAGTCACAATTAGTCATATTGATATGGAATCATCCTTAGGTTGTGTAGATTCAAGTTTGTTCAAATCATTACCTCAGGGGTAGGGCGGGGCCACAATGGGGGATCAAACTTTTACATAAGAATATATAGGGAAAATCTTTAAAAATCTTCTTCTCAAGAACAACAAAGCCACAATTAGTCATATTGATTTGGAATCATGCTCAGGTAGTGTAGATTCAAATTTGTTCAAATCATGACCCCTGGGGGTAGGGTGGGGCTACAATGGGGGATCAAATTTTTACATATTAATATATAGGAAAATTCTTTAAAAATCTTCTTCTCAAGAACAACAAAGCCACAATTAGTCATATTGATATGGAATCATCCCCAAATATTGTAGATTCAAGCTTGTTCAAGGCATCCTCCAGTAGTAGGGTGGGGCCATAATGGGGGATCAAAGTTTTACAAAAGAACATATACAGGAAATATCTTTAAAAAATCTTCTTCATTCTCAAGAACAGCAAAGCCATGATCAGTCATATTGATATGGAAGCATCCTCAGGTAGTGTACATTCAAGTTTGTTCAAATCATGACACCCCCCCCCCCCCCCCAAGGGTAGGGTGTTAGACAGATTTAAAATTCTGTTTTAAAGAACAGCAAAATCATGATTAGTTATATGAAGATAGAAGCATCCTCAGAAGGTTTATATTCAATTTCATTCAAGACATGGCACCTTGGGGTAGGGAATGCCTAGAACAGGCAATCAAAGCTTTATATATGAATATATAGGAGAAATATAGGAGAAGAAATCTGCTGATGAAGAACAGCAGGGCCATATTGACTCAGGTGAGCGTTGTGGCCTATGGGCCTCTTGTTTAACTTTTGAAATCTATCAAATGAAAATTCATTCCTTTAATGTTTTTTTTCTGCCCCCCTTGAAAGAAGGGAGGGCATATTGCTCTGCTGCGGTCAGTCGGTCTGTCTGTCTGTTGATCCACCAACAGTTTCCGTTCATTTTCATCACAAAGGTTGCACATACTGAAATGAAATTTAGTATACAGATTTATTATAAGAATATCTAGGTCAAGTTCTGTTTTGGGTAGAATCGAGCGATTTTTGACAGAGTTATGCCCCTTGGACTTAGAAAAATTCCAATTATGTGCGGTTTCCATTCATTTTCTTAGCAGAGTTTTTTGAAGAAGCTAGCCTGAATAAAGCAATCAATATTTATGGTAAGTATTGCGTGGCAAGTGTTTCTTTCACATGCCGGGCTTGTCTTCTATTAAAAAGAAAAGAAAACCACAAAAATAAGAAAAACTTTCTTTCTGGGAAAGAGTATTTAATAAACATAAATGGTATGAGATTCCTTAACTGTCGTAGGATGAGACGTTTTGTTGCAAAATGTTCCAGTCTTTTCATGAAAGTGTAACTAATCAGAATAGTCCACTTTTGGGGTAAACAGGAAAATAAAATATGAAGAAAAACTTTGAATTCACTTGTACTTGTTACAGTATTACTTGACCATATACGATATGTTATACGTACACTGTGATAAATATACATTCCAAAGCTTGAAAATCAGGGTATAAGAACATACTTTTTTAAAGTTTCATTGAAGCTATCACACCCATTCAATGACCATACATGCCAAAGAAAAGATCATTTCGTCTGCTAACAGTTATTGTTTAAAACTCAAGTAACAAAATCCGATGTGAATATGTTTGCACAAAATTTGGCTGGTTAGCTTTCATCCTATAATTCCATACTATGAAAAAAAATTAACCTGCCTGACGCTCTTTACATCAGGCAATGAGTGCAAATAAAATTTGATGATGGCTGGTACATTGCGCTGGTATAGTGGTTTCCATATTAAATTTTCACGCAGGCAATCTGAGTTTAATTCTGACAATGTCCAATTTTTTTTCCTCATTTTGAGCTTAAATTTACATTTTCATCTTTATAAATGATGTTTGATGGGTTTTTTTCTGTGTGAATTCTCCACTATTTCCAATTTTTTATTAAAAACATATATATATATATATATATATATATATATATATATATATATATATATATATATATATATATATATATATATCTATTATTATACATTATTGAAGCAAAGTTGTTAAAAAAAAAAAAAACAAGTGGCAGCTAGTGAGATCATCAAAAGTTGTCTAATGACATCACTTCTGGTAAAACAGGACTAGTAAGAAAATGCATATTTTTGAAGTTTTGGACATGTTATTGCATGATTTGAGTCACTGGAATGTCCAAACTCATTTAGACCGGAAGTAGTCAAAAAATGAAGTTTTTGCTCTAAAATCATAAGAAATAATATAAAATGATTTTGTAATTGAGTTTTAAGGGTTTTTCTGGCTTTAAGGGTTTTTGTGACTTTCAACATCAATCAGAAAGGACGACCAAATGGCCAGAAATGTCCATATCAAAAATGGAAGCTGTTGAAGAAATGATTTTTCTGTGAAATTATCAGAAATTTGCCAAAGTATTATCATTATTATGATATATAAACTCTTAATAAGTTTCTTAATATGACTAATATACTTATATAGCCATAACTTTCATATCTTTTGATAAAATGCTATAATACTCAGAATATAAAGATATAATGGTAGTGTAGACAAGATGACATGGTCAGCATGCATGTGCATGCATGTGTGCACATGCCCAATGAGTGAAATAACAAATATTCTTGATATAAACTTAACTTTTATATATTTTTTGATGCATTGCTTTAAAACTCAGAATATAAAGATAAGTAGTGTAGACAAAATGATGTGGTCAGCATGCACATGCATGATCATACAATGAGTAAAATTGCCAATATACTTGATATTGCCATAACTTTCATATCTTTTGATGAAATGCTTTGATACTCAGAATATAAGGAAATATTGATAGTGTTGAGAAGATGACATTGTAAGCACTGACATGCATGCACGTGCGCACATGTGCAATGTGTGAATTGACCAGTTTACTTGATATAGGTGTAACTTTTATATTTTTTTATGAATTGCGTAGAAACTCAGAATATAATTGAAGGATATATTTGGAGCCTAGACAATATGACAAGGATATATTTGGAGCCTAGACAATATGACATGATAAGTTAGCATGAACTCACGTGCATACTCATGCACTTTGCTCTGATTGGCTGAATAAAATCTCTATAACTCCCTTGTTTTTTGGCAAAATATTTTGGAAATTTAAAATATATGTATATTTTATAAGGTTCTACGTGTTATATACAAAAAATCATGAAAACATGCATATGTATGTGTGCTGCAATTTGATTGGCTGAAACACTAAATGGCTATAACTTCCTTTTTAACAGAAGAGGATGAAATTTAGAATATAGATAAGTGTAATTGGTTCCTAGATCATGCTATTATCAAAATTGAATACAAGACCATGTATGCACGTTTGCTGAATTCTGATTGGTTGAAACTCTTGAGGCTGTAACTCTCTTACTATTCAAAAACATACTTTGAACTTATGTTCATTTTGCTATATATGCATTATTATAATCCCTTAATACATTGTACTTCAGAAAATAAGTTACCATAAGTAAGTCTAAAATACAGAGAGTTTGCCTAATTTAATGAAGCTTACAGGGAAAGAGGCTCCAAAAAGGAGTTGGGGAGCATTTGGGAAACATCTGTAACAGTCCCCATTACAATTGGAACTAGTTATAGGGTAGTTTCAACTTTTTGAATTTATTTTTTTTTATGAGATATGTAACTGATCTTTTATTTTTTTATGAGATATGTAACTGATCTTTTATTTTTTTTTTTCAGTCAAAAGCTGCATATGTCCTTGTGTATCAAAGACAGACATTAGCCCAATCATCTGATGAACATTTAGTAAAAAATGAAGCTATGGAGACAGAATATACATGCTAGAAAAAGTTCTCATTGGAGCCAGTGGAGCTCAAGCAATTTGCAGAAATGCAGATAAACAAGCTCAAAAGGGTATACAGGTTTACTCTGGGTGTATTCCCTGAAATTAAATTGTCAGTTGAATGTACCAATTCAATAGCAGATATCATTATAAGCTGTAAAGTTGCAATTGAGGACTTTGCTTCTTTGGTTCTCCATATCACTTAATTAAATTTTGTCAGATTATGTGAACCTTTAAAAATTATTTCATACTTGCTTAAACTTTATAATTGCATGGTTGATACAGACACAGCTCTTGAACATTAAGTACAAAATAAAGTATGTTATTGCTCATGAAGTTTAAGTGTGTCACGATGTAGACTTAAGGTCACTGGCTAATAAGATGGTAAAATCTGTGAATCACTTGTCAAGTTTAATCTAAGTAAGCTGATAACATACTGGAGAGACTGGAGAGTAATGGCCTAGACTTAGATCATATCTAAAAGTTCAAGGTCCTATTTTGTTAAGTTTATGTTGTGAAAGGATATAGTAAAACACACTTATTGCAAAGTGCCAAAGACGGGCCATTTTGCTTCATTATAAACATAATTTGTTATATCCATTAAGTTCATAATACTATGCAAAACCAAGGGGAATGAAAATTACTTGCATATAAGTGTAAATCATTATAAAAGTGTTTGCAATAAGCATTTTTTACTGTAGTTGGAAAAGAGAAACATCAGTTTACCTTGTTAACACCTTAAAACAAGTAGTTTACAAGCCAATATCAAGGATATATGTTGGAAAAAATCTTTTCAGGAGAAACAGTGCCTCACTAAATCGTATGAATATGCCAACATTTCAAGGTTGTGCAGATTGAGATTTTTTTTTAGTCAGTCGGGTGACTTAGTACTATCTGTTTTTGTCTGTCATCATGCATCAGTCATAAATTTTTGAACATTTTCAGTTTTTTCTCTTAAACTACTAAACCAATTTCAATCAATTTTGGCATATAGCATCAATGGGAGAATAGGTGCTTTCTTTAAAAATCATTTTTAGCTCACCTGAGCTGAAAGCTCAAGTGAGCTTTTCTGATCACCTGTTGTCTGTCATCCGTCCATCTGTAGACTTTTCACATTTTCAACCCACTGGCCCATTTTAACCAAAGTTGGTACAAAGCACCCTTGGGTGAAGGGGAGTTTGAACTATTAAAATAAAGGGCCAAGCCCCCTTACAAGGGGAGATAATCAAGAAAAGACCAAATATGGTAAGGTCATTAAAAAATCTTCTCAAGAACCACTTGGACGGAAAAGCTGAAACTTTTATTGAAGCATCTTGGGGTAGTGTAGATTCTAAATTGTTCTAATCATGACACCCTAGCTTAGGACGGGGCCACAAAAGGGAATCAAAGTTTTACTTTCAAATGTATAGGAAAAAAATATTTTAAAAAATTTAAAAATCTTCTTCTCAACAACCACTGTGCCAGAAAAGCTGAAACTTATCTGGAAGCTTTTTGAGGTAGTGTAGATTCTAAATTGATCAAATTGTGGCCCCGGGGTAGGGTGGGATCACAATAGGGAATCCTAGTTTTTCATTGAAATATAAGGGAAAGATCTTTGAACATCTTCTCCTCAAGAACCACTGGGCCAGAAAAGCTGAAACTTATGTAGAAGCTTCCTGAGGTAATGTATATTCTAAATTGTCCAAATCATGACCCCTGGGGGTAGGATGGGGCCACTATAAGTATTACAAGGGGGAAAATCTGGTGAAAAACACCAGGGCCAAATTTACTCAGGTGAGCGTTGTGGCTCATGGGCCTCTTGTTACTTTCGGACATCAAACAACCAAACTGTGTGGCATGATTGAAATACAAGCATTGAGCTCTTAACATAAATTGTGAAATTCATGGCCTTGGGTGCAGGGGTTCTGGAGTAAGGATGGGGCTGTAATGCATGGAACAAAAGGAGATTATACTAATATATATATTTCTCTGTATCAGTTTTTTATTTAGACAAAAAGTGTTGCCATGGTTACTTAAATAGAAATTTCTTTTAAGTTTTTTTAGATATTACTCCTCTTACAGTTTTGATCCAATTTCAGTAAGACTGATACACAAATAGACTATACTAAGATACATAATTCTTTACATTGGTTTTTGATTTTGAGAAGTAGTTTTATCATGGTTACTAAAAATAGAAATTTCTTTGAAATTCTTTCAAAAAACTCTACTAATTTTAGATTTTTGGTTCAGGTTCAGCTAGACTTGGTACACAAATAGACTATACTAATTCTGTTAATCCATTTTTCATCATGACAAAACATGTTGCCATGGTTACTAAGACTGGAAAATTCTGCAAATTCTTTTTACATAAGTAGACTATAGTAAGATACATCTCTCTTTATTATAAGTACACACAGTAGATCGAGCTGCAGTCTTATCAGAGACTTCTGTTTTTCAAAAGTTGGGGCTAAATGTGAGGGATTAAATTTCAAATAATGCAAGCCATGTTAATTTAATTGATACTGAAGCATCCCAATGTTGTATTGATTCAACTTCAATTAAACATAACCCTTTTTGGAATAGGATCGGGCTACAAAATGGGGTTTAAATTTTTCATGAGAATAAAAGGTGAAAAATCTTTAGAAATCTTTTTTTGAAGAACAAGAGTGACTCAGGTGAGCATTGTCACCCTTTGAAATGTGAAAACATCTTTAAAATATCTTTTAAGATATAAAAGAATGATTGGTAACCATGAATTTGAGAATTTGCCGTTATTTTTAGTACATTGAGAACTAATACTGTTATTAAAAAAATTTATGCTATATATAGCATAAAGTATAATGCATTATTTTACATTTCATTTAAGGAGAAATATGGTTTAAATTAAAATTGGTATACGGTATGGGGTATGAATAAGCAAAATTAATACACAATTTCACTCATTTTCCCTTGGCACCTCATACTGAATTTGTGCATATATAACTGTGTCTTTAGTATGTAAATTATATTACTGTACACAGGGTTATTTTTGCCCCTTGTTATTTTTGCCCTTTTACACTTGCAAACAATTTTGCCCCGTTTTAAATTCGCCCAGTCACAGATGTGTTTAAGAAATTATACTGTGTTCTTTGAATTCGCCCCGTTTTAAATTTGCCCACCGGTGAGTAGGGCGAAAATAAAACGGGGGCGAAAATTTCCCTGTATACAGTATTTACATATTATATTTGACTTTTACACAAAAAATTATTCACTGTTTGAATTCAGGACTTAAGTAAGAGTGCAAATATATTTAACATTGCTAGTTATTGAGTTTTTTTCCACTTCACATTTGAAGATGATTTCTAGCTTTCAAAGCTCACTCATAGAATTATTAGATATTTGTACAATTTGTGTTCTGATTTATATTTAAAAAGCACAAAAAACCTTTTAAGATTATTATTATTTTGAATAGGTTTTGAAACAAATACATTCCCTATCACATAAACTTTCAAAACTGTAGTAAAGGTATATGTACCTATAGGTACCAGGTATTTTATACTTCATAAAAATTCTGTTGTTTATATCAAATAAATTCTTTCCACAATCAAAGAACAAGGACAAAAAATAGTCTTGAATAATTGAATGCTACAGTACGCATTACTGGAAAAAAACTAAGAAAGATTTGAATTTTGGTCCTTCCTGAATCAAACAAAAATTAACAACCCACAACAAGAAAAAAATCAAAGTATTGAAAGTACTGAATCGAGGTGACATCTTCCAGTAAAATGTGATATTGATTCCCAAGTTAACTGGCATATACAAAATCTTACATCAAGAGAACCCCCAATGAAAACCATTGGAAAGCAAAAAGTGAGCAATACGACAAATGCATTTTGTACTTATTTGATCTATAAAAAAAACTGAACTAGTTACTTTTAAACAAATATGAAAAATACTAACAAAAGAATCTTTGCCATATGAATGTGTAAGTAAACCATCTCTTGACTTCTTTTTTTGGGGGGGGGGGGGGCAAAACCAGGCCCATTTAGACATTTTTTAGCTCTTCTGAGCCAAAGGCTTAAAGAGCTAATGCTATGGCCATTTGTGCGGTGTCTAGTGTACGTTAACTTTTTAGAATATGGGCCATAACTCAAGAACTCCTTAGCCAATTATTGTCAAATTTGTCACAGGGTATCCTTGGCCCAAGGGCTCCTGTTTATACTAAAACTAGGGTTATGACCCTTAAACAAGGGGAGATAATTAGGAAAATAAAACCAAAAGTACTGGTTGCTTAAATATCTTCTTCTCAAGAACCCCTGAGCAAATTATCACCAAACTTACACAAAAGGATGAGGATATGTTGTAGATTAAAAATTTGCACAGGGATTTACCCTGGGGCAAAGGGTGTGGTCTCAAGGTCACTTCAAAGTTGACCAAAAATTACATTATATTAAAATGTTGATATTTAGCTTACTATCAAGACTAGGGTCATCAAATCTTGTTAGTTGATGCATCTAGGGACCTCATATCATGTTGACTCAAAAGTAGGTCACGGTGACCTACTTTTTAAATTTTGTGGCCATTCTTTTTCAAAATTTAAGGCCTATGTTCATCAAACTTTGTCAGTTGATGTATCTTGTGTCCTCACAGTACGTAGACTTAAAAGAAGGTCACCTTGACCTACTTTTTGAATTTTATGGCTAATGTTTTTCAAAACAATTAAGATCATTATTTTGAATACTGAGAGGTTTAGAATCATTAAATCTTGTAAGATGATGCAACTTGGGGGCATAAAACATATTTATTAGGGCCCCGCTCTGCAGGTTCCCTATAGTGATGAGTCTGTCTGTCCGTTCCCCCGTCCGTCTGTCCGTCCGAGATCTCTTGTCCGGAGCATATCTTCTCTCTCCTTGGCCCAATCTGACTCATACTTCACCCACAGAGTGCCTTTGGGTAAAGGGTGTGCAGTGACCTTGAACCATGTTTCTAGGTCTAAGGTCAAGGTCATAGCAGAATTATATGAAAAATCCTTGTCCGGAGCATATCTTCTCTCCTCTTGATCCAATGTGGCTCATACTTCCCTCACAGGGGGCCACTTGTCAATGGATGTGTAGTGACCTTGAGCAAAGTTCTTAGGTCAAGAATCAAGGTCAAAAAAAGCCTCTCTGTTTAAATTTTTGTCCGGAGCATATTTTCTCTCTCCTTGGCCCAATCTGGCTCGTACTTCACCCACAGAGTGCCTTTTGGGTAAAGGGTGTGCAATGACCTTGAACCATGTTTCTAGGTCTAAGGTTAAGGTCATAGAAGAATTATATGAAAAGTTCTTGTTCAGAGCATAACTTCTCTCCCCTTGGTCCAATGTGGCTCATACT